TATTTAATTAAATAATTTTGATTAATTATAAAAATATTAAATCATTTAAAATAATTAAGGTTACTGACACAATAATCAGAGTCATGGGCTTTTATTTTTAAAGTCCGTCTTTTTGTTTCCGGTTTTTGACCGTTTTTTGGTAGAAAACTTGACAGAACGTGACGTCAGACATCCGGAACAGCTGAGTGGTTCGGGAAGGCGTTTCCTGTTACACACACACACACACACACACACACACACTATTGGGAAAAAAAACAAACGGTGAACTGTAAAACAACACAACACCACACTAAAACACAATAGATACAACACTGTAAAAAAAAAACGCTGTAACAATTTAATACCTTTTAAGTTGAAACACTGTAAAAAATATTGTTCTTCACTGTTGAATAAAAGCACCAAACAACGTACTACACTACAAAAAATTACCAACTGTAGTAACTTTTACTTTTACAACAAATCAACAATACACTGTAAAAAATGTGTTACTCTAAAACCATACAACAATACACTGTGAGAGATATTCCTCTACACTGTAAAAAATATACACTGTATTTTAAGCAGTACAACACAAGACTGAAAAATATTGTTCTTCACTGCTGGGGGAAAAAAGTACGAACGATGGAGTAACCCTTCACTGTAAGAATGTACTATGTTTGTTTTCATGTTTGTTTATTGATTCACACGAGGGAATTTCTTCAAATGTGTTGAGCTCAACACACATAGGACATGTGAAATGGGTCACCCCAGGAAAGCTAAACAAGGCTTACAAGAGGGGGCCCACACATACATGAACAACAAACAGATACACAAAAGCAACGAACATGACTGACTTGTAGTTTGTCGTCTTAATATTTAGGGATTATTTGTTGCATGTAAACCGTGTCCTCTTTCACTAACTCCCTGTTCAGGATATCTTGTCATTCAAGTGGACTCTTATGTGACAAAAACAGGCTTGTACCATCTGCAAACAATACTTTATGTAGAACAGATGAAGAATTTACAAAATCATTAATATATAAGATAAAGAGGAGCGGCCCCAAAATAGAGCCCTGGGGGACCCCATATTTGATGGATTTACATAAAGATTTTTTTGACCATTAATGTGAACATATCGTTGTCTCCCATACATATGACTTTTGATCCAGCTAAGTGCAGCACCTCTGACACCATAGTGATGTAATGTGTCATTAATCTTTTCAACAAGATCAGTAACTGCCGTACAGTTTTTCCTAAAGCCATACTGTGATGGAGTAAGAACATTCACTTTGTCTACTACTCAGTTGATTGTATTCTACACTCTCAAAGACCTTTAAGACCTGGAGGAAACCCACGCTGACACGGGGAGAACATGTCAGAAACCCCCCAGAAACGGGACCATGTCCACTTCCAGCCAATCAAAAATCAATGAATGAGACAGAGTCGTAGGGTTCGTCACTGTTTATTGATTAAACTGACAGTTAATGAAGCAACTTCAGATCGTTTTCAGTTACACTTTATTTTGAAAGGGTCTGTGGTTAGAGGGGCAGCTTCCTGTCAACAGCTGTGTTACCATGGAAACGTCTTATTGATCGATCAAATTAACCTGATCAGTAGATTCTTTACAGTGTATAAATGATCAGTTAAAGCTTCTAATGATCGATCGATCAGCACCTGAATCTGTCTTTACAGATAGATATTGATCAGATGACTGGGTGTATTGATTAGGTGACTGGATGTATTGATCTTTGATCGACTGTTAGAGAAGCTGTTGTTACATGTTTCGGCCACAGGGCGGCTCTTCAGTGGACACACCACCACATGACTGCCGCTGAGGCCAGAAGACCAATCACAGACATCGATGCAGAGGAGGGGGCGGAGTTACACAGATCTGAGTTGCAGCACTTGAAGGTGAAACTGGAGACCTGGAAAAGATTGATATGGTTATTGATCAGTGATCAGGTGGAACGACTCGTCAACATGTTATCATCTCCACATATCTCTCCAGGACCACCTGAGTCCAAGAACACCTGAGTCCAATTGCACCTGAGTCCAGGTCCAGGACACTTCATGTGAGTCAAACACTTGTCTTCTCTAAGAAGTAAAGTTTATTTCTTTGGAAACAGGAGTTAAAGGTGCTGATCAATACAGTAGAATAAAGTAGAGTGGAATAAAGTCTATAGAATAATGTAGAGTTGAGGAGGCTATGGTAGAATAGAGTATAATAAAGTAAAGTAGCATAAATTAAAGTGGCCTTAGGTAAAGTAGAATAGCAGAATGGTGTGAAGTAGAATAAAGTACAGTAGAGTAGAATAAAATAAAGTAGAATAGAGTAGTGGTAAAGTAGAATGGTGTAAAACTGGAATAAAGTACAGTACAGTAGAGTAGAAGAAAGTAAAGTGGCATTAGGTAAAGTAGAATAAATTAGGGTAGAATGAAATAAAGTAGAATTAAGTGCAGTGAAGTAAAGCAGAATAAAGTACAGTAGAGTAGAATAAAATAAAGTAGACTAGAGTAGTGGTAAAGTAGAATGGTGTAAAACTGGAATAAAGTACAGTAGAGTAGAAGAAAGTAAAGTGGCATTAGGTAAAGTAGAATAAATTAGGGTAGAATGAAATAAAATAGAATTAAGTGCAGTGAAGTAAAGTAGAATAAAGTGCAGTAGAATTAAGTAAAGACGCATTAGGTAAAGTAGAATAAAGAAGAGTAGTGTAGAGTAGAATAAAGTAGAGTAGAATAAAGTAGCATTAGGTAAAGTGGAATAAAGTACGGAAGAATAAAAAGTAGAATAAAGTAATTTAAAGTAGAATAAAGTAGAGTACAATAATGTAGAATAAAGTAAAGTAGAATAAAGTAGAGTACAATAATGTAAAGTAGAATAAAGTAAAGTAGTGTAGAGTAGAATAAAGTATGGTAGAATAAAATAAAGTAGAATAACGTGATTTAAAGTAGAATAAAGTAGAGTAAAGTAGAATAAAGTAGAGTAGAATAATGTAAAGTAGAATAAAGTAGAGTAAAGTAGAATAAAGTAGAGTAGAATAATGTAAAGTAGAATAAAGTAGAGTAAAGTAGTGTAGAGTAGAATAAAGTATGGTAGAATAAAATAAAGTAGAATAACGTGATTTAAAGTAGAATAAAGTAGAGTCACCTGGGGGAACATTTGGGACAGTCGGCCGTACTCACAGTCTGAGTACTTCAGACACTGACGGTAAGTCATTCCACCTGCAGAACAACAGAGACAGTAGAACGTCAGTAGAACCCTGAAGCTCAGACTGTTTCAGATCTGATGGACTGATGTTTTCCTGTAAGTACGTTTTGTTGTCACTGTTTTAAGTCTGTTTTTTACTGTTTGCTAATGCTAATTAGCATTAGCATTTGCAAAGTTAACCATAGCCGTAAATGAACCATGCTAACCATGTTAACCAAGCTAGCAGCTAGCATTGGCGTTACTGCCACCCTCTCTTCCAAATATGGTCACTTCTGGTTTCAAACATCCAAGACGGTGATGCCGAAATGTCAAACTCCACTTCAAAATAAGAGACCAAAGTGTGACGTCGCTGTGGTCATTTTGTTTTTCTTTGCGGTCATTTCACGTGTCTTTGTTATCATTTTTGAAATGTTCTGCGTCATTTGGAATCCAGTCGTTTTGCATCTCTTTCAGTATGTTTCTTGTCTCTTTGTGGTTGGTTTTTGCATCCTTGTGGTCGTTTCATGAGAACTCTACGGGGGCTGAACTTTTATATCATTGACCTCATTGTTTTGGTCCCCTAAAAAGTCATGCAGTGTTTGGTTGAACTAAAAGACCCTCTAAGCAGTCGGATGCTCAATTGTTCTGTAACTACATTTTGTTTTCACAGTCTGTTCTTCAGGAGCTAAAGTTAACATTAGCATGATCAAAGTTAACCATAGCTGTAAATGAGCCATGCTAACCAAGCTAGCGTAATCGCCACCCTCTCTTCCAAATATGGTCACTTATGGCTCCAAAAATCCAAGATGGTGACGCCCAAAATGCTGAACTCAGCTTCAAAATGGCAGTCCACAGACTAATGCGTGACGTCACAGTGTCTGCGTCCATTATCTACTTATTGATTTATTGAGACACGGCGTTCTGTGTTCTGGTGGTAGTGGTGCAGGTGTGCAGGTACCTCTCTCGGTGAGTGTGAGACAGGCGTCGTCATAGCTACACTCTCGTTGTTTGGTGCAGCTGGCTGTGTAGTCCTTACAGCTGTAACACCGGATGGCCGATCCTGAAACACACAACACATCAGCAGGGTCGTGAACCTCGGCCGTGTGTGGGACCTGATGGTCCGATGATACCATACTTCAGCCATCAGTAAACAGAGCTCCACCAGTTTATCTTTGATCTTTTATAAACACAAACTGCGACCTTTAATTATTTAGCCAGCGAGTTTTAAAATCAAAGATCAAGATTAAAATGAAAACTACAAATTATTTAATTTCTTAATTCATGTTTTTCTGGATCGATGAGATGAAACCAGTTCCAGAGCAAACTGTCACAGTTAAATCCAGAGAATCAAACGTACCCAGTCCGATCAGAGCGGAGCAGATCACCAGACAGATCCCCAGGGAGCGCTTCATCTTCACCTCGGCACGGCTTGCACACTCACCTGGACTCCCACAGTCCAACCCAGCACATTAATTCATGTGGAGACAAAACCAGTGAACAAATGTTTCGCTGACAGACCGGAGTGTGAGCAGCAGAGTGTGTACAGTGTGTACAGTGTGTACTCACCCAGCAGCAGCAGCAGCAGCAGCAGTGATACTGCACTTCAGCAGTACTTTTGTTGTTTGTTGTTGAGGAGAGGAGACAGCGAGTGGTGGCTCCGACTTTGACTGACAGCTGAGTGGAGCGGGAAGGCCACGCCCCCTGGGAGGAGCCTGTGGGTCTCAATAAGTGTCATTGTTTTCTGTTTTTATTCGACTGTTGTCATTTTTAATTTGAGAGGAAATAAAACACCATGAAAAACTGTGAAACACTGTGAATCTGGACCCCTCTGAGTCCTCTGCTCAGTTCAGTCCTGATTTATGTCTCTGTGGTTGTTTGTTTACTTTAGTTGGTGTTTGTGTCTCTTTGTAGCCGTTTTGTGTCTGTAGTTTTGCGTCTGTTTGTAGTTGTTTACATCTCTTTGTGGTCATTTTGTGTCTCTGTAGTCGTTTTGTGCCTGTTAATAGTTGTTTTGTGTTGTTTTGCGACTTTGTGGTTGTTTTGTGTCTCTTTGTAGTCATTTGTGTCTCTTTGTAGTTGTTTTGCGTTTCTTTGTAGTCATTTTGTCTCTTTGTAGTAATTTGTATCTTTTTGTAGTCGTTTGCGTATTTTTGTTGTTTGTCTCTTTTTAGTAGCTTTGCGTCTGTTTGTAGTTGTTTTGCGTCTCTTTGTAGTCGTTTTGTGCCTGTTAGTAGTTGTTTTGTGTTGTTTTGCGGCTTTGTGGTCATTTTGTGTCTCTGTGTAGCCGTTTTGTGTCTGTAGTTTTGCGTCTGTTTGTAGTTGTTTGCATCTCTTTGTGGTCATTTTGTGTCTCTTTGTAGTCGTTTTGTGCCTGTTAGTAGTTGTTTTGTGTTGTTTTGCGACTTTGTGGTCGTTTTGTGTCTCTGTGTAGTCATTTGTATCTCTTTGTAGTCATTTGTGTCTCTTTGTAGTTGTTTTGTGTTTCTTTGTAGTCGTTTTGTGTCTTTGTAGTCATTTGTATCTCTTTGTAGTCATTTGCGTATCTTTGTTGTTTGTCTCTTTTTATTAGCTTTGCGTCTCTTTGTAGTTGTTTTGTGTCTCTTTGTAGTCATTTGTATCTCTTTGTAGTCATTTGTGTCTCTTTGTAGTTGTTTTGCGTTTCTTTGTAGTCGTTTTGTGTCTCTTTGTAGTCATTTGTATCTCTTTGTAGTCATTTGCGTATCTTTGTTGTTTGTCTCTTTTTAGTAGCTTTGTGTCTCTTTGTAGTTGTTTTGCATCTCTTTGTAGTTGTTTGTTTCTGTGGTCGTTTGCATCTCTTTGTACTCACTTTGTGGTCATTTTGTATCTTTTTGTGGTTGTTTTGTGTCTCTTTGTAGTCGTTTTGTGTCTGTAGTTGTTTGCATCTCTTTGTGGTCGTTTTGTGTCTGTTTGTGGTTGTTTTGCGTCTCTTTGTCGTAGTTTGCGTATCTTTGTAATCGTTGGCATCTCTTTGTGGTCATTTTGTGGTCGTTTTGCGTCTCTTTGTAGTCGTTTTGTGTCTGTTTGTGGTTGTTGTGCGTCTCTGTGTTCGTTTAGTTTCTTTTGGGGGGTTGCTTTGCATCTCTTTGTAGTATTTTCTGTCTCTTTGTATGGAGCTTTATCCCTATCTTTATTCAAGAGAGTGGTAAATCGAGATAATAGAGAGCATTATTTATTGATTTCACGTTCAGATTTTATATTATTGTCCCTCAAACCCTGTCCTCGCACTCAAATAGCCTCTGCTTGCACTTGGATCTACTCTGTTTCTGCTCGCACTCAGATACCATGTTGTCGCTTGAATTTTTTTGTGTAACAACCCTGTCAAAATCCCCCAACCAACAGAACACCAGGTTTATGGTTGACCAATGAAATGATCCCTGCCTCCTTGCGGGCGCGCTCGCTTTAGTTTTAGAGCGTCCCGTCCGGACGGGTACTCTTTAACCGGGTTCATCCACTCCCACCCTCCAGGGCTTTATTAAATCCATATTTGTCATCACTTTACGTGTGTGTGTCTTCATGCTGTGGTTGTTTTGTGTCTCTTGGTCGTCATCTGTGGTCTTGTTTACTTTGGTGGTTGTTTTTCATGGCCTTTGGTCATTTCGCATCACGTTGTCGTTGCCTTCTGTCTCTGCGATTTTTTCTTTGAGTCTTGTTGCAGTCGTGTGCATCCTCTAGCGTCTCTGTGTATCTGAGTCTGGAACCTTTCGCTCTGTAGCTTTGACTGAATGTCTGAACTCTTCCTGGAAGGGCTGTGATGAGACGTGCGTCGATATTCGTGTTCCCCTCAGACTGACCTTCAGTAACTGCACTGACTTTATATTCAGCGCCACCATCAGGTCGACATGCTAACGTGTCCAGCGCTGTGGTGTACGACCCGCAGGCCTGATGACACTCAGTGTTTACTGAGAGTGGGAGCGTGGCCTCACCTCGCTGATGATGCGATGATGTGATGATGGTGGTGGATGAGAGGCGCTGTGTTGGAGCATTTATCTCAGTGCAGCAGAATAAAGCGTCAGTGTTTTGTCCTGGAACGACCCAGAGACAAAGAGCGCTCACACACAAACAATCGGCCTCAGTCTGCAGAGAGACAAAGAGCAGAGGAGATACAAGACACAGACGGCAGCTCCAAACACAGCGGCTGCATTCAAACGCCGTCATCACACCACGCTCATTAACTATTCATTTCAAGTCGCCGCTCACTCCACTTCCTTCACACACCATCTTCATCTCACACACAGAAAATACATGAAACCAAATCATCATGGACTCAATATGGAAACAAACATCAGCTGTCTGAGGTCACAGAGGTCAAAGGTCACTCACTTAATAATGACATATATTTAAACTTTAACTGGCTTCAACATGAATATTTAAATATTCTTATTTAAGCTGTTTCCATGATGTCCTATTTTTCTTTAACCAGTGAAATCATCATCATCATCATCATCATCAGACCACCCTCATTAAATATTCATTCATATCAGACCTTGAGTCCACGTCTTTTTCTTCAACCAGTGAAATGTAAAATTTCAAAGCTGGTTTACGTCATACAGTGAAGTCATTTAGTGACTCTCAGTATCTCTTTGTTGTTGTTTTGTGTCTCTTTGAGGTTGTTTTGTGTCTGTGGTTGTTTTGTGTCTCTTTGAGGTTGTTTTGTGTCTCTTTGTGGTTGTTTTGTGTTTCTTTGAGGTTGTTTTCTGTCTCTTTGTGGTTGTTTTCTGTCTCTTTGAGGTTGTTTTGTGTCTCTTTGAGGTTGTTTTCTGTCTCTTTGTGGTTGTTTTCTGTCTCTTTGAGGTTGTTTTGTGTCTCTTTGTGGTTGTTTTCCATCTCTTTGAGGTTGTTTTGTGTCTCTTTGTAGTTGTTCTGTGTCTCTTTGTGGTTGTTTTCCGTCTCTTTGAGGTTGTTTTGTATCTCTTTGTGGTTACCTTGTGTTTCGTTGTGGTTGTTTTGTGTCTCTTGTTGACGGCTTATGTCTCTGTGGTCCTACAGTGTACCTTTGAGGTTGTTTTGTGTCTCTTTGCGGTTGTTTTGTGTCTCTTTAAAGGTTTTTTTATGTCTCTGAGTTTTTTTGTCTCTTTGTGGTTGTTTTGTGTCTCTTTGAGGTTGTTTTGTGTCTCGTGGTTGTTTTCTGTCTCTTTGAGGTTATTTTGTGTCTCTTTGTGGTTGTTTTCTGTCTCTTTAAAGGTTTTTTATGTCTCTTTGAGGTTTTTTTGTGTCTCTTTGAGGTTGTTCTGTGTCTCTTTGTGGTTGTTTTGTTTCTCTTGTTGACGGCTTATGTCTCTGTGGTCCTACAGTGTCTCTTTGTGGTTGTTTTGTGTCTCTTTG